TTACTTCGTCTAAAGGTAAAGTCTGGTAGATAAGGCTCGGTTCAGTAAGGACGATGAAAGATTCACAAAAATGGATATGCCTACCTTCCTGCGAACTCACTCAGAAACTACGGTTAATATTGAGTAAATGGAATATTCATGTGGCTATGAAAGAGAAATCAACACTTTTAACGTCTACCAACGCAATATCAAAAGGTAGATAAATAGGATTGTTCAGGAGTTTACCGAAATATATTGACGAAACGGAGAAAAATTAGCATATGAATCAAGGAACATCAAAGGCTCTACAGGAAAATGGATACCGAAATATTAGAACTAGCGGAACACATCACAAAGACTGGACACGAGTTGAATTGGAAGGCAGCAGAAAGCATAGATCCATACGGTGACAACAGAAGGAAGCGCAAGACTAGGGAGGCCATTGACATCCTTGGGGAGAAAAATCTAATAAACAGTAGATTGGAGGAAGGTAGAGTTAGCGATAACTTTGCCTACTGCCTAAGAAAACTCGGGGAAAACAAGAATAGAGCAAGACCAGCAAAAAGGAGACACCTGGATCAAGGATCTACCGCTAACCGGAGGAAAAGGGATCGTGATGAAGAAAGTGAGAGGAAGGATTTCTCGGCAATAAAGCGAAGACGTCTTCAGTGAGTGATGTCCCTTTCGAATAAACCAATACAACTTTGGCAGTCATGAAGCTGGGCAGACGGATAAGCAAGTCGTCACGGCGTTATGGCCAAAACGTACTAGAAATCCACTTGAGATGCAGCATGCGACCAGAGATAGGCGTCCATAGTTTGTTCAAATAACATGGATTTAATAAAGGAGAGGACCAATGAAGAAAAGGCCTGATATCTGAAAGCATGGAACCAGAGCTTAGGCGCTTTGCTCAGTAAAGCGTACGTGCTTCTAGGGCCTTGAGAAATAGCGCCTGGAGTGAAATGTACACAGGGAATGGAATCGAGTGAAATCGGTCAACCAGAAAAATAAGGAACGGATCTACGAGACAATAAGGGGATCCGGATTGGAGGCCCGAGTCGGATAAGCCGATCGAAAGAGAGGGGTTAGGGTAAATAGCAAGTGTGATGAGGCCACACTAGATTTGCCACAAAATGGCACACCCTTTGACGAGTGGAATGTAAACAAGTCAGAAGTTGTGAAAGGGCGGCAATGGGATAAGAGGGTAAAGAGTAGATAAATGGCCCAGGACAGAAAGATGAGTGACAGTGTAACCGTTTTCGGCAGAACGTTTGTCGAGGGATTGACTTCACTTGTCTCTCTGATGAGTTCGTAGCTTGGTGCGAAGAATGGCAAAACTGACTGATGATGCCGACTACGTTGCTGGCCAAACGTTTGAAGATGTACCAAGTTCACTGTCTGATGCTAGGACTATGACAATTACTATGGCAGACGACTTCGGACTAGGTGCGTTCTATTAAGTCACCCTGACACCAAGACCACGTTGCGACAACGAGATCAACCCACTTCTAATTCACTAGTTTCAAGAAGCCACTATATAAATAGCAATGAATGGCTCTAATAATTATGGATAAAAAGCATGTTTTTTTAATGACTAATAAATAAATAAATAGGAAGCCTAGGTCCTATCATCAAACCTGACTCTTCCAAAGTATCTTTTTCTCGATTAAAAAAGCGTGGGTAGTATCAAGTATAAGAGAGATTCAATCGAAAGCCAGACTTTCTTGTCACCTCAAATTCAAGGTCTATCTTTATAGACTATACTGAAAGGGGGGAATCCAGTATATGCACAATTTCATGTTACCTGCTGCAGGTGTTTTTCAAGTAAGAAAATAATCTACATGGCGAATAAATCTAACCGTCACAGTGACTTATAAAAGTCAGAAAGATGGAAACCAGTTCCTGCTGTTGCTTCTAATCGACTATAAATATCGCATGTTAGATCTGGCATCAGGCGTATTTGTGATATCATTTTTAGCCTGGATGAAGCCTCCTGTCATGAGCAAGGGAACGTTTTTATAGCTTGACCCAAGGACCTCATTGGGGATCCAAGTCTTTTGATGCTCGAGATTAAGATAACATCTCAGCACTTGTAACTAAGTTCTAATGACATATCTTCTCTCTCTTCTTCTTAATCGTCTTAGTGTTCTGATGCTTTAGAGTAAGAGATTTAAGATAGGTTTTTAAACTCGGTCAATCAAGCCTGAAAGGCAGCATTGGGGCTTCAGCTATCACTATCATGCGGTGTGCATGTGTACGCCCATAGGGCGTGAGAGACTAGGCTAGTTGGTTTAAAATGCTATTAGAAATCGACTTAGTCTCTTTACTAACGATTCGGCAAACGAAAAGATGAGAGTATTTAACGGGAAAAGGTCATACCTAAGCTCTAAGGGAGATGCATACTGACGAGTGCCAATGAGAGATACGCAATATAGTCAATCAGTACTACGTGGAGGCTGCTGCTGCTGCCGCTGGAGCTGCTGCTGTAATTGTTGTTGGTATGCGTGAACAGGATGTTGTACTTGAACTTTCTGATATAACGGACGCACTTGGCAAGAAGGAGGAGCTGGTTTTGGCGGAGGCGGTGAAGAGTGATTCGCAACAGTAGCAGCTGTCACCAGAGATGCAACGGTGGTAGGCAGGGCAGTAGTAGAGGAAGATAAAAGATTGGAGACCGGTGAGGAAACCTGATGGAGGGCGATAGGTCTTGAGACTTCTGTTCCGGCAGAAATAGAAAAGAGATTGTGCTGTTGTTTCATTGCGACAACCTATAAAAGCAGAGAAAAATTCGATTTCATGCTTTATGTTTTTGACACTACGGTAGAAATCCCCCGATAATAAATACTTCCGTATATATATATATGATGAAAGTTTTTAAGTAAAAGACCGAATAAAACAACTCATTCTAGCTGAAATAGACTGCGATTAAGTAAAATGGTGGGTTCTAATGAGACTGATAAAGAGAGTTAC